CAAGTAAGATCGTTCAGAATTAGAAAAAGTGCTAATGAAATAATAGAAGTAATTGTATATTACTTTATTCACTTTATTCACTGTAACACTAAGCAWGTTTTTATTAATAATACCATTGGTTATTCAATATAGCATTATCAATGATAATACTAAAAGTAAATAATATTAATTCTTAGTATGTACTAAAATTGTTCTGATGGAACGGGAATCCAATGAATATTATTTCATTTAATGGAAATTAGAAAGTAATATACGTTTAGTGGAAACTGTTGTTTGTAGATAATATATATATTAATTATAATATATTAATATTGTATATAGAATACAATCAAAAATCCAAGTACCGTAAACGAGCTTTAGGTACGGTACATGACACACAAATACTATATATAATACAGATTGCTAGAAGACATTGTTTGCGGATCTGCAGTAAGAATAAGGACTTAGGAGAGGGCGGTATATAAGATCAAACTGTGAGTCCGGATTATAGTTTAACTTTTTGGCCAAACCCCATCTCGTGTTTATATTATATGTTAATAGGTACCTATGTATTTTAAACTTAAAGTATAATCACTCAAAAGTAAATAAAATTTGAAACGAAACGCCATTCTGGCGGAAGTCTCGTTTCAAAAGAAACTCTAAATATTATTATGCAAACACGAGCCGATTAAAACTTCGGACTGACGCGCAACGCTGACAATGGGCGGTCTTGAGGGACGGCACAAAGGTTTAATCCTATTCTCTGTTTTTTTTAACCGACGACGAACGTCATAGTCACGTGGCGCGTTCATCATTATGTGAATTATATGATGAGAACGCAGTTTATTATAGCGGATCGCATTGATTTTTTTCAAATGGAAATTCGGTCAAAGGTCTACTATAATTTATTATACTAAAGATAATTAACRTGGAGATTTGTTATTACTGTTCTTAAATAGTCATACATGCCTACTGTTGTTATGCGCTGCGAATCTAATGTATACACTGTACAGCACACATTATAAAATAATACGTATCTAATTATAAAACTGTATGGTATGACTCAATGCCAATGGATTTTAATAGATTTTTTTCAATTAAAGGGGCAATAAATTATTATTTATTTATTTAATTTCAATAAATATCATATTTTTTTACTACGCTCCATATTAAAAAAAATTTAACTGTAATTTATGAAAGTATATAATTAAGGATATCAATATTTTACTTGATTCTTTTATGGTATCACGATAAATTACCACTTTTTGATGGATGGTCCACAATTTAAAGGATTTAAGATTAATCTATTAAGATGGTTCCATAAAATTAAAAAAATGTATAATAGTCTCATTAATAAATGTACTCCTTATTACTTTAGTCATTATTAATTTCAATGTTCCTTTATTAGATAAATTTCAGTATTTCCTGAAAATATGGTTCATACAGTTCATAATTTTTAAATAAATCCGATTAACGAATGGCTATTTTAGGGAAATCATGGTTTGCTTTCAGTTTTGCATCCATATTGCATGTATATCCTTAGTTCAACAATAACAGTTTGTATGTTAGGATCAGGGTAAAATTTAAACATTTTTAAAGTGGTTATAACTCAATAAAAATAATATAAATAAAGATTAATAATGGATTATAAATTATTCAACAGTAATCACAAAATATGTATATTATTTGTAAATTATATTAAGCACACTAAACACACTCAAATATACCAAATTTACCTACAGTTATTTAGGATTATAAAAGAAAAGACAGTGGATCAATCTTGAAAACTCAATTAACTTAAGGATAATGTACATAACGGGATAGTGAAACATAAAGTTTTTAATACTTTTATTATCAGATTCTCAGCTGGAAAATATCACATATGTAAGGTCGAGATACAAAAATGAAGTTTTGACATGATATGCGAATGACGTACGTCTGCAGAATAGAAAAAACCTTGTAAAATCAGGTTTTAAAAAATAAAAATGATTGGTATACTCAATATAATAATTATTCGTCTTAACATGTTAAAGCAGTACGGTCATGGTGTGTATTTTTCATCTCCTATACCATATAGTATAATACTATATTATATATAATATAATAATAATAATTAATCATTTTTATCAATTCCAACATTTTCCATTTCATTGACGTACCCCGTATAATAATTACGAGTCTTGTGCTTGTATGTATATATTGTAATAACTATATCATGTTTATTATTATACTCTGTGTATATTTATATAATTTTGTCAAAATATATATGACGTTATAATTTGTATACTCCACCGCTGCCTCCATCCGATGAGGGTTGGGTCCTATATATTCAACAGTCGCCACCGTATCAAATGACAGTTTTTTTTCTCCATCAGATGGAAAAACTATTCACGAGTATAACGCGAACGGACAGTCCCGCCTGGCGAGCACAGTCGCACAGGTATGATATCCCGTCGCCACCCACCCACCCACTGKGCACACACGTGGTATAAACATATCGTGTATACTTTCAACGCTTATATCATATACTCATATATGCGTATATAATATATATAATACGTATGATGACGAAGGTACGAGTATAATATTATACTACAATATTGCGTATACCTCTATAGTTTACGATATACATATAACAGCGAAACCTGCGACAATAGAGTGACGGGATAAACATCTATATTATGCACTACAGCAGAGATGACTTCCTGCAGCCGTTTGCCGCTATTTGGAACGGATTTTGAAGGATGGTCACATGGGTCTTCATTTCGATATGAGGCCAAATGCAAGAGTACCTATATTACTACTTGGGAAAATAAAATACAAAATACTGACCTACTAATCCTTTTGGTTTGGGAAACTGATAGCCTAAAAATGTAATATACATATAATAGCTAGGACTTATAAGAAATTCACTAAACAAACTACTATAATTAAATTCTTTAAAATGTATCATGAATTGTACATAAAAATACCTACATCATTTTCATTATTTAGTATTTAATTATGTTCATTTGGTGATACATTGATTAATGATTAAATTTGATTTATTTAACGATGCTTAATTTTGTTTGTTTGTGTTCAATTAACGGTTTCAATAAAACGTGAAGCCCTTTTTTTTTGATCGCCAGCAAGCTGCCACGTTCCGGGTAAGGTAAAGCTCAGTGTGTTGCATTATCGCGTTCATTCCGTATCAGTGTTTTTAGTATACTACTCCTTCTATTTTTTTTAAATGGAACACTAGAGACGCCCTATTTACTAGTAAATTTTCATTTTTTCTGATGCAAAGT